AGTGCCAACAGTGGCATATTTTGTGCTGAGAAAAGAGCCAAGATTTAGGATTTGGAGCATCAGGAACTGCAAGGATGAGATCCGATAACAGCAAATGCAAGTAATATTCCCGAAACATGGAAATTGTTCTTTCCTCAACTATTCCCTGAACTGTTCTCTCAACTGTTCTTTTCAAAAACTATAGGCAGGAAAAATACGTTTTCATCCAACGTTTTTTCTCAAGTTTATCCTTTCTGCCTTTATAACTGGGTGCAAATAAACACTACCAGGGTTGTATCCATACTTTCATTTTAACAAGCAGCCTGTGATTGGGCTCTGATCATTTCATGCAATTCATAAAGAAATATTATGGCTTTCTTTTGCATTTATCCAAAAGGTCAATGCGCATCCCTGAAAGCACTTTTAATCTAGGCGTTATGACAATGAGTGGCATAATTCAGCTGTTACACCAAATATCTGAGACTGGAAGGTCCATACTGCTAAAAACTGGAGGCCCAGACCTTCTCCCATTCCTTCTGAGCCTCAAGAAACTCACTGTGCTTTGCAGAGACAAACCTGTGACTGCAGTTTTCTGTGTTCAGCAGTTACACACACTCACCCCTTCCAGGTTAAAAAGTCATAAGATTTTCTTTAAAACCGTAACGTTTTCCTCAAGAGAAAATCAAGGCTATGGATTTTGACGGTAGCCCTTTCGAGACTTTCTTGGCAACTGTATGAGCTAGGAATTGGCTGTTGGCTTCTGATGAAATCTGAGGATTTCCCCAGGTTGTCAGACTCCAGGAGTTGGGATTTTCTCAGAACAGATGGAAAAAAAAAAAAAAAAAAAACACAAAAAGAAGCATAAAATATTTCCAAACTTCTTGTCAGGAGTAAGAAATATCTGTTTATTGCTTGCTCGCTTTGTTGTCTCTGATCCGCTTTGAAGCCTGAATGTTTAAAGTATTTAAACACGTGCTTATCTTGGAACATATGGTACCACTGATTTCCATGGGAATGCTGATGCTCTCCCAATGTTACGCACATGCTTCGAAGTGCTTGGTTGGAACAAGGATCAAGGGAAAACCTTGAGCATAAATTCTGCTGTCTGAAAAGGACTGCAGAGACATCCACGCCATGCCACCCACATTTCCACTGAAACTGAGGCTTTTATAAGCATTTTCCACTTTCTATCCTCTTTTTTAAATTTTTTTTTCCTTCCTCTGCCATATAAATAAGTAAATAAATCTACTTTTGTCCCATTTCTGCATTTTAAAAAATTTATTTACCTCTATTATTTTTATTTTTGACAGGGTTCAAATTTAGGAAATCTTACAGACTGAGTCCTGATTGCAAGAGCATCCTTCCTATATATTTTTTTATTATTCTAAGGATGCTGATGAAAATAATGAACCCCTTTCAATTGGCTGCAGAGGGTCTTGGTTTGGGCCCAGCTCCTGGTGACGCTCACATTTCCATCAAACAATGAAGCTGTTAAATCCCAATGACTGCACAAAGCCACCCTGATGTCTCTGGAGCTCAAGATCTCAGGAGCTTGCTCATTTTTCAGCCCCACTTGTGGATGGATTAACTGTTGAATTTGCAGAGCAGGAATTGACACTAAGCCAAAGACTTAGCCAAAGTCTTTTTTCAGAAATATCATCCTTCCCATATACAACAGTTTATTTGGCCTGTAGATCCTTAATCCTTTAACTGCAAGCAACCAAGAGGTCTTTTGGTAAACAACGTGCTGTCAATTGTAAATGTAACAGCACTTTCTTCCATTCTGCACAACAAAAGGACCAAACTGCTGTTTCAGATGTGGCCCCCATACACCTGGTGAACTCCATTCTTACTGATAATGAACCTTCATCTTTTTCTATGGCCTGCATTTTCCAGCTGCTGCCCTGTGTTGGGTGAAAGGCCAGAGAAGCAGAGGTCTTCACACTTCAGTGCATGTTCTTCAGACCCAGCATATTCCGGTGGGGCAAGGATACAAAAGGGGCGGCCTCAGAAATTTTGGTAGATACTCAACGAGCATGAAAAGGAGTGAATCTGCTGCATTGAAGGGGTTACTGTGTACACACACCCACAGAATTTGAAAGCTAAGCTCTGCGTGGCCATAAAACCGTTTTGCAGCCACAAGGCTGGAGAAGGAAAGGAGATATAAGTGATGATCTCCACTGGCTGGCTGCACCTTAGATATAAGTTCGTATCACAGAGGTTTGGGACGTAGGCTTTTGTTTGTTCAGTAAGCAACCACACTGAGCTAGCAGTGGGGAATGCTGCTGATGAAAAGGTAGTTGTGCTTCTCATACCAACCACGTGAAACCTGATGGAGCTGAAGAGGTGCAGAATTGAGGGCTCCCTTTCACAGGGTCTTCTCCCTTTCACAGCTGCAAGGTTGGATGGTTGCAGCAAATTTACTCAGTTGATTATCCAGGGACTTTCCCCAGGCATACAACTACCATCAAAATCGTGGTAAAGTGTTAGAACAATTCCTGGCACAGTTTTAGTCATGGTCACACATCACCTACCCAACCCACTCCTGGGTGTTCTTCAGAAACTGAATGATTCAGGGCCTGAATCTGAAAGGCAGGTGGGAAGGGGATGCCCTCTTCTGGAGGTGAAAGGGTTTAATACAACAAATGCAGTTTTTTTTCATGTCATGCCCTCAGTGCACCTCCTTCTCTATCGGGTTCAGACCAAACCACTTCTGCCAAGCACTCCTCTTAACTTTGGGCCATAAAACTAAACAAGATCTGAAAAGCACAATAAACTATATTAAATTATGCTTTAGGATAAAAGCATCATGGGAGACTAAAAGGAAGGAACATTGTTCTTGTGAGGAATCATTAAAAAGGACTATTCAGGACAGACTGAAGGGAAATTACAGAGAGCTATAAAATTACGAGGGACAAAGGAAAAGCAAAAAGTGATTGGCTGTTACTAGCATCTTCCAGAGCAAATACTAAAGGGGATCAAATTAAATCAGCATGTGGCATGTCCAGTACTTGAAAAAACTTTGACATTCATTGCCACAAGAATCTGTGGATGCCTACAGCCAGCACAATTCAAAAAGTAGATTTATCTACAGCTCTTACACAAAGAGCTGTAGATAAATTGCCTCTGGCCATGAATTACTGGGAGCTGAGGCATTATTCTGGAGAGGAGCACTATATATCTGTCATTTTGTTATGTTCCTCCCCATAGGAACCAGCTGTTGCCCTAGGTGAGCTGGATGTTTGGGTTGATCCAGTGTGGCTGTTCCTACATTCAGACACGGATTCAAGGAGAGAGACTTATTTCAGTAACTAGTCTTGTAAGTGTAATGCCTGTCACTGGTTTTGCCATACATCCCATACATCTTTGTGGCACACCTGACACAAAACCTCTGACTGAACCACCCTTGGTGCTCCCTGCTTCTGCCTTTCCAGCTTCATTATCTGTCCAGTTCAGAGACTTCATTATCTGTCCAGTTCAGAGACTTCATCTGCCAGCAGCAGCTGATCAGTGTAATCTTCACCAGTTACCCGAATGCAGGTCCTGGAGAAGAGAGCCCTTAGAACTGATGGTAAGACATCTAGTAGGTTCCTCACTCACCTGCATTTCACCAAATCCATCATTTCTCCTGCACCCATCACATTAGTACCACAACAGCCCTTCCATTAGGTGACCCACTGCTCATGGCTGCTGATGTACATCAGACATGCAGCATGGCACGATGCTACTCTGCTCTAGAGATGAAGTGTGATGGAACAAAACTGAAGCTCTTGGGGTGGCCGCAGTCCTCTGAGATGGCTTCCAGCAGAACCATGCTCAATTTCCATTCACTCGAGGTCTCCAGTTTCTCCATCTGCAAAAGGAAGGGAGCACATCCCATCACAGTAGGGTCTGAGGTCTGCAAAAAGCTGAATTTGGATCTCCCATGTTTGCTGTTGTCCCAGTTTGGATGAGGTTCATCTTGGCAGCCTTAAGAGGAAAGGTTCCTTACTCCATTAGCTCTCCATTGAGCCATCCAGCCTTCCATGCAAGGCTGTTTTATTTGGAAAACATGACCGCTTGTGGCAAACAATATTTACAATTTAACTTTTTTGTTGTTGTTCCGGCTGATGTGAAACTCCTTGGCTTTATAATGCGGGTTTAATAAACTCCACTAAAAGGGTAAATATAGCAACACCCTTTTGGAATTTCTTCCTCTTCGTTTCTTTTTTAATTGATTATTTCTCTAGAGGTATAATTTTAATACAATGGCAGAGTATCAGCAGTAGTTGGATTAAATACAGAGAGGGGCAGGGGGCTGCTGATCTTTTATTTTTCATTTTTTTGGAGACCCATAAACCATAAATGAAACAAAAGTTACTTTATATTTGCAGACAAGTGTGTGCGTGCGCGTGTTTATGCATTTCTCTCTTGCTTGCCAACTTTGCCCTTTTTTTCTTCTTTCAAAGCACTACAAGCAATAACACTGCAGATGATAGAACCCTTTCTGTTTTTTCTTGTTTTCTTTCCAAAAAAATGAATAAGCTTGAAGGGCATTATTTTAACTAGGCTCTTGTAATCCTTTAACGGGGCTTGTTGAAAATAAGACCCAGCACTGCCAGACACCACGCAGCAAAAAGCTGCTTAGTGCCAAACTACTTTGCATCATAGAAGCTGGGAACTGGCTACTTTTCCTCCTGTTCCATGTCTGAATGTGCTCCTTCTTAGGTCTCAAAGAGACCTGAACACCTGCAACCTGGTCTCTGACCCTCAAGATTGACCAGGATAACAATGTCTCCCTTGACTGAATGCACTACCTCCAGCACAGAGCTGGCAGCTCCAAGGGCTTGACTGAGAGCTTGTAGGGTTGGCTTTACTGTATGAAGTCACGTAGTGATGTGACACTCCTGGCTCCTGCTGGAAAAAGGAGAGGTTTTTTTGGTCCTGATGGTCTTGTTGAAATGCAAAAGTATGTGGATGGAAACCATATACCAACTGGCTTAGGTCTCAGCCAGGTCATTATCTTTGCCCCTTGCTGCCTGTTCTATTTTTTAATTATTATTATTAATTTTTTTTTGTTAATACACCACTGGTGTATTCTACTACAGTAAAATAAATAGATTCTTTCATTTCAGGAATATTCAAAAGAAAGGAAGACGTTTATGACCCAAAGGAACCGGTGCTCTCCAATGACAGTCCTCAAGACACAACGGAGAAGAATACAAAGGCCCTGTCTCAGCAGGCTTTTCAAAAGGAGAAGAGAAAATAGCTCTAGAATGAGATATGGGAAAGAATAAATAAGTGTCACTGTCTTTTTCTGAGCTTTACTATCACAAATGTGCCTGGTAGTGAGCTGTGGTATCTCATTGCTTCATCCATCCTCCTGCCTTGTTCTGGTTCTTCACACCCTGCCCACTCCTCCTGGATGTTCCTCTATTAATATAAAGAGAAAAACCAACAAATGTTTTGCATTAGGAGATTTTTTTCATCAGATGACTGAGAATCTTTTGCAGAGAACAGCCCATCCAATTTCAATATCATGAACAGACTAAGGCCATAGAGAATCAAGCTATCCAGAAACAAGGGGAAAATGGGACCAGTTGGACTTCAAGACCCTTCTCCCTCTTGGCATTAGTTTGAGCAGCCCAAAAACACACCATTAGAAAGCCCTCTGCATTTTTGTCTCCATTAAAGGAGCAGAGGGATCACAGAGCAAAATACCCATGCCTTGATTCTCAAAGACTGATTGGGTGATGAGAACAGAGGAGAACATTTCCAGGGTGGCTCTTCACCTCACCCTTGCTTGTGAGCAAACAGAAGGGAGCTCTGACAGAGATGCTGTTGGCTTTTCCTCATCAGTCATTACAGTCCAGGAGAGAGGCAGTGACGTGAATACACCCCATGGGCTGGGAAGGGAGAGGGGAAATTGGAGCAAAACACTCAGAAAAGCACACCGTCTGTCAGCTTATCCAGTGACCCTGAAAAGCCAGATGAATGATTCTCTTCTGCAGGTTTTAGGCTTTCTGCAACCGCTTGCACTTTTGTTGGGAAAAGTATTTCCCTCTGTAGGAGTTCTCAGTGGCGAATCAGTCAGATAGTGAAGACTCCAGATGAGACCTTCTGGAGACTGTAAGAAAACTAAATGAAGTGGGAAATTAAAAAATGGCTTAAAAACACCCTCACAGTGTAGTCACACTGGATCAGATAGCTTATTTTCCAATTATAGTTGCACATTTAGTGTGGACTTGTCTCTTCACATAGCTCAGATGATTGTTCCCTGCCTCCTTTCATCATAGAAGTTCATCATCTCCAGTATTTTGAACCTGAGCAAAGAAAAGATGAAACTTTTCCTTACCTTGTCCCTGCCCTGATCATGGCCCTGGGGAGCTGAGATCTCCTTCTGGACTTTTGAAGACAAAGGAAATGCATCCTTAAGAGCCAGATGAAGTTCTCAATCAATCACATCACAGAAGTAAAATGAGCACTGTTGAAAAAAAGCTTTTGCTGAGTAGAGATAAGCTCCCCTCCTTGCTTCCTTCTTGCCAGTCAGTTCAGCAGGTGCTTACGTTTTCCATTCACACCTGGAGGGCTCAGGGGGAAAACACAACAGACTGGGGGAGTTATTGCATGCAACTAGGAAAAACAAACAGGGCCTGGAGATAAAGGAAAGTAGGAGAACAGAGAGATAAGAAAAAGAACTAAAAACACTCCTTCCTCTTTTCTCCCACTCCATTTCCTGCTGAGATCATCAGAGCTCACAGTGACCTGCTCTCTGCAGGTGGGTGATAGGCACTTAGCTTTCCAACAACCTTTATATTCATGTCAGCAAAGTGAGGTTTTCCATGTCCTCTAAGCACACCAGCCCTGGCAGCCTGAATGCACGTGCCCTTATCCAGTGCTGAAATTGAAGAGTCCCATCTCTGTAAGGGCAGGAGATGCCACAGGAATTTTGAGTATCGAGAACAGACTGGTCTCTGAGCCAGGTGACTAAAATCAAACTGTAAGAATCAAATCAGTTGGGCGTCAGCCTTTCAGCCCCGTTGCTGTGTTGAAGATCAAACATTCTAGGGATGTATACTGCTAGAATGGGTAAGCATGTACTACGAAGTCATATTACACAGAGCTTACACAGCTGGGCTTGACAATCTGCATCATCTATACTGACTTTACCTACTTAAAATGCCAAGCTGTGCCATTTCCTGACCGAAGCCAGTGCTGTCCCTATGTTCTACTAAATAGCTGTTTTACTTTCCCCTGGTGTCTTCTGTGTTACTGTAAGGAAAAAAGGCACAATCAGTAGAGAGGAAGACTCACCCGTTATGAGTGATGGTGTCAGGAGAGCTGGAATCCAGCTTGCCCAATGCAATACATAACCTCCATGCAAGCATCAGTGTAGACATCCATGGTACAATTCATCTGGGAAAGCAACATTCTCCAAACCCACTGTAGCTGCCTTCAGATGCCCAGCTGATCTCCAACTCTAATCTCAGAGAAACACAGAAATGTGTTCCCTCACTACCCTGTTGGGGTATTTGATGAAGTCAATCTTTAGGGCAGATGTGAACCCAGAGGTGAACTGTGCCAACTGAAGCGGTGCTTCAACCCAATCCTACCCCTTTGTGCAAGGTTAGCCATTCCTCTTCCTGTAGCCTGGCCTTCAGAAGCTCTCAGTGATGGGTAAGAATTGGCAGGGAGACAACTCAATCACTTCTACATCTCCAGAAATATTCCATCTGTCTGACTCCAAGCCACAGTGACGAGGTGGATTGGCTCCTCCATCATCCAAATCTGCTCTCCCGCCCCTGTTTGAAAACCATGACATTTGGGACCAGAAAGCGCAATGACAGCACAATTGGCAAGTCCAGCTGTCTACAGAAGGGAGTGCATTTGGCATCCTTGTATGTCTGGAAATGGAGCTGTTTATACAGGGGGAGGGGAAGGGAGAGCTGCCATGTATAAGGTCTCAAATCGATCACTCATATTAATATAGCGTGCTACAGAATAACGAGGGTCCTATTAACAAAGGTGACATAAATAAAACCACGTTAGCTGCTTCACTTCAGAACAAATTGTTTTCCCCTAGGACCATGCTTACAGTCACAGGAATTTCCAAAAAGCATTTTCATCTCCATACAAGTGTGATTTACTCAGGTTACAAAATATACAGTGGTATAAATCTGTCAGAATAAGACAAGAATGAAAGGGAAGGTGGACTTACGATTAAAGTGCTGGAGTGGGAATATGGAGATTAGGAAATTTTTCTCTACTACAGATTTTTTTTCCCCGGATATCAGACTTCTTATATCACTTACTATTTATACTGCCATATCACGCAGATCCACACATACAAAATGTAAAACCCTTCTCCTCATTTATGAAGTAGGCTCACTAGCTCTACCTTTTTAAGCTGTGAGGCAAGGAACACCTTTATAAGCCACATATTCCAATTATTGTGCGCACTGGCTGAGATGATAGATTTAATTTTGATGAGTTGAAGGGGTTTAAGGACTGCAGAAGAGCCAATATAGTTTAGATAAGCTGTGTTGTTTCAAGCACAGGCATCTGGATCCTATTTGAGGTGCTCTTCCATGGTCTCTACAAGAGCATGACTTGGCCACAGGGCCCATATGGTTGTCTCAAATCCTCTTCAGTATTGTAATCTCTTCAAAGGAGAGGTGGTTGATGCACTGTCCCTGGAGACATTTGAGATCAGGCTGGAAGGGGTTCTGAGCACTTGATGTGGTTCTAGGTGTCGCTGTTTATTGCAGGGAAATTAAACCAAATGGCCCTTAAGGGTCCCTTCCAACTCAAAGAATTCTGTGACTCTAATTTCATCTTGTTTTCAGTGCTGTTTTTCAGACAACTGAACTATAGCTTGGGCTCTACTCAACGTATCAGGGCTCAGGGAAATTACCAGCACCAAATGCCTATGGTTTTGGGAAAACCCTGGGGTATCTGGGAGGTTAACAAGAAGCATAGATGAGAGATAGGATCTCTAGGAAACTAAGATGGTGAGCTGGAACAGCTGCTGCAGCCAAAGAGCTCCTGAAATGACCTCAAATTCTGATGCATAAGCAGATGAATTGAGCTCTGAGTCTGCAACCCTAACCAGGCAAAGGAGAATTTGCCAGCATGAAGCCTCTCGTAGCTGGGTGATTGAAATATTTGCTTTGGCTGTGGAAAGCTCCTATGACTGATCTGAAATCCTGTTATTTTGCTACCAAGGAACACATCTTATCTAGTGAATGTGGGTTCTCCCTTATAAAAACTATTACACTTTGTGTCATGTTTTAATATCCACTGGGACAGAAAAAGAAAGTTCAACTCGATCAAGAACTAGAGAGTTCAAGCCCATTCCTAAGCAGACCTTCTATAGAATGAAATTCTATGTCCAACAGACCCTCTGCCCTGCCTTGAAGGATGGACAAGCTGACATCAGCACCCAGCACTGCAGCTACACCTCAGCTGAGTGTCCTGATGATTTAAAGTATATATAAGATCATTTGGGTTTTGTTTTTGCAAATGCTGTGCAAGTTTCTTCCCATCTCTCGCCTCTCAGTCAAAACATTTCATTTTGCATATGCTCAAATATTTTTTCTACGCTTGCTCTTCTTTTCTTTCCTTTGTTATTTTTTTCCCCTCTGCATCACCAAGATCTGTTGGTTATGACCCAAGCTGATGTCATGCTATGTTCTGAATTGTAAAAAACTAATCTGGGAAAGGAAGAGGTCAGAAAGCGGGCAAAAGAAGCTAACACAAGACAATTCCTGGGTGCTTAAAACTGCTCCCAGCCATCCAGGTTTCAGCTCAGGGACTACAGGAAATATATTACACATCCAGAATAACGTGAGCATGGATTACCTGAGGCCACAGTAGGGCACCATAGTGGTTACCAAAATTAAAGCAAGATCATGATACCTCTCCCAGCACATTACTTGCTTAGCACCCATGGAAGATTAATAAAGGGATGCAGCACTTGACTATTGGCTTTCATGTTTTACTTCTCCAGGCTCACAGCAAAGAAATGGCAGGACCAAATCACAGAGTAGTAGAATCAGTAAAGTTGGAAAAATATCAAAACCATCAAATCCATCTGACCACGTCCCACATTTCCACTGTTCTTGAACACCTCCAGGGATGCTGACCCCACCACTTCCCTGGGCAGCCTGTGGCAATGCATCATCGCTCTATGGGAGAAGAAATTGTTCCCAATATCCAACCTGAACGTAACCATTCCAGGGGGTTTGATTGAATTAGCACTTCTGGTACACACTGAGCACACTTCTGCTTGAGTGGAGTTCTGGTTCCACTTGTTCCAGTGAATTCTTTTAACCATGTCGATCCCTTATTTCCCTCTCCTGCCTACCATCTCTGCCCCCACTACAGAGACATAAACACAGCTATTCTGCATCCAGCACTGTACACAATCAGAGCAGGGTGTTAACAACAAACAGGCACCATATAATTAATGTTCCCCTTTGCAGATGTATCCCTGTGAAGCTGGCATGGCTGCTGCAGTCTTGAGGAGAGCTGACTAGTGAAGAAGCACATTTTTTTCTCTGCTAATAAGACCCCAAGCCACAGCTGAACAATTGAGCAATTATATTGTTTAAGATAAAATTCTGACTCATGCAAAGGACTCTTAAAAAAATCAGTTTGTTGCTTGTTGTTGGTTTGTTTGTTTGGTTTTTTTAATCCTGAGCTCTGCCAAACATCCCATGGTGACCTTCTTTATTCTTTCCTGCTCACAGTTAAGTGGAATGACAGCTCAAGGTCAAGAACAGAAAAGAAAGCAATTAAAAGCTAAGTAGAATCAAGTGGTAAGTTTCAGAAGACCAGAGATGAGTGAAACTGAATTCTCTTGTTAAATTTGATACCATGGCTGATCTCTATTATCCCTGTACCATAAGAGGTTCGCAAAAAGAACATTCCAAATTTTTCATCTTTTCCTTAACAGATAGAGAGACATGAGGCTGTATCAAAATTCTGGCTTTACCAAATGCTGAACTTTAACAAGCGTTGAATTTTAGTGACATACTGAACTTTGAATCTTGGTCTTTAAAATGCTTTCAAACCATGGTGCACAGCCTGATGGTCTTGAGATTGGGCAGCTTGGCTGAGGAGAGCAATCTGCCTCACCTGGTGCACTGAGTCCTGGAGTGGCTGGTAACGAAGACTTCATGTGGTCATTTGGACACTTCCTTTGAAGAGCCAAACAAAGACTAAGTTGGCCACAGAGAAGATTTTTTTTTTTTTGTCAACCAGTTTGCTGATGATTTGTACCAGGTACATAGGAATGCCCAGTCCTACTCATTTTTATGCTGTTTGCATAATTCAGGTGTGTAGCTGTCCCTATGGCAAACAACTGCACAACCTAGGAATGTACTTGAGCAATGTGAGTTGCTTGAATAGGGTAGCAGTCATGGCACCAAGCCTGATGGAGTTCAAAGAGAATCTGGACAACACTCTCAGACATAGAATTTGATTTTTGGGTGTGGAGCCAGGAGTAGGACTCAACCATCCCCATGGACGTCTTCCAACTTGGGACATTCTATACTATAAACTCTCCTATGGTGCCAGTCAGCTATGATGCCAGCATGATTATAGCCAGGGTGCTTACAAAGAGATAACCTAGAAAAATACAAAACTCACAGCCACAACTCACTGTGGATCAAAACAAAGAGCTTGCAACGCATAGGAAAGCAACGTTCCCCAATAGCATCTCCTAGATATCCCATATCCTGAAGGAAACTACAGTATTTGTAACCTAATGCCAATTTTTCCAAAGAGATTCAGAATTAGGCTTCAAATAACCAAGGAATTATATATTCTCATATTCTACCTTGATTTTAGGTGCATAATCAATTAATATTAAGGTGTAATAATTACAAAATAAACAAGAGAGTTTGACAAAGCAGACTATAATAACAAAAAAAGAATAAATAGAAGGCTTACCTCTATCCTGGACTCACTCACAAAACACCAGCAGAGCCAACCTCCAGAAGAAATCCTTCCCTACTGGTAGCCAGCTCTTAAATAGGTCTAGGAGGGGTGCAGCCAGGCAGCACAGGTGAATTGCCTTCACCTGTGCTCCTCTGGCTGACTCATTGCTCACCTCAGGTGATCAGAAGTTCAGGCCATCACTCAGCAGTTCCCATACATTAAATCATGTTGGGAAGCTAAATGATTCAAAGTAATGTGCTAACTTTAACCTGAGCAAAATGTGGAGGAGATTC